CAGCGTGGTCGATCACCCATGTTTGCATCCGTTGTCGTAATTATCACATCTAAATAAATAGTGATCCTGGGACTCTCAGGAAATCCGATGCCACGCCTAAACCACGAAAAACTAAGAGTTCACCTAGTTTCTGTTTTGGAAAAGACATGCTGGACTATCTATCTATGAAGAAAGATCGTCCTATTTCTATGCGAGTTCTCAGAGATCCAAACTGATTTTCCAAAAATCTGCTCAAATACCGGTTTTAAAGCTTTTCAAAAATCATTTTTACTTGTAGAAAACTAGCCTCAGGTGTCTACTTTCGACTGCTGGAAACCGCAACGTTCTATCTTACGCATTAGTGAGTTATTAAAAAACGGCAACCTGCACTGTATTTTGGCACAGATATAACAGTCTTGATCTAATCATGATAAATGAGCTCTTTGGTACTGAAAAAAAACTGAATACTTCCTATTTTACAGATCACAGGATATGTTCAAGGACATCTTAATAATTATTCCATTAATAACTGTGTATTCTGTATGTGGTTCAAAAGTAGTATGGGATCCATTTGGACTGAGTAATTTGAAAGGAGTTGTGGAAGGGTTACAAACAACAGTTGATAAATCCTTAAAACCATTAGTCGACGGTAATATGGCACAATTATCTGATTTAACAAAAGGGATTAAAGCAACAATGGATCATAGTGTTAAAGTAAATGTAGATGGAGAAGTATTTGACGGAATAAATAAATTATTTGTGACAGTCAGTGAGCAAATGTCTCATGTCATTCAATATTTCATACAATCGACAGTGTCGGTTGCTGCTCTTACGTTCTTGGCTGTTATACTCATATGTATCTATCGTTCTCAGTTATCAGATATATGGAAAATAACAATGACAATTGGCGGTATTATACTTGCTACTGGAATATTTACATCATCGCGTTTATTCATTAATAAACGTACTGAGAATAATTATTGAACTAGAAAAAAGTAAATATATTCTTATGTTTTTCTATCATTTTTCTTATGAAAATTTTTTGACGGTTCTTTTCACACGGAAGAAAATGTTTATTTACAATAGTCATATCAGGCACAAAGGACTCTCATGCTCCTGGTTATTGTTTTCATTTAAGATTTTATTTATAGATACCTTTAGCTACACCAGTGAACCTAGTCAAAATTAGAATTTCAATGTTGTACTATTATAAGACGCGCGTAGTTCGAATTTCAAGCACTATTTTTGTTTTCCTCGTATTTATACGTCATTCGTTAGAGCTCGTTGAGTTGATCCAGAATAACTAGGTTTTAGCTTTTCAAGAATGAGTTTTGACGAAGAAATTTTGAAAGTATTAAAAGGGTCTTAAAGTTCGAAAAATCGTTCAACTAAAAAACCTATCAAAAATTTCTTTCTATTTCATTTTGAAACTTGCAAACTTACTTTTCTGATTTAGCGTATGAAACTGACAATAGAAATATTGTTTAGAATTTGATCTTGCAGAATATTGCCAATTTAGAAATTAAGAGTCAAAGGTATCTTAAAGAGCGCCAACAGATTTTGTACACAATAAATGTTTAAAAAGGTGTACTAGTGTTCAAATCCACCACCTTTTAGCTCTTTTCAAAAGCAGTTTCACAATTGGATTCCCCATCCCATCACAATGGCAAGTTTGAATCCGAAAAAGCAAGTTTGAAAGTTTCAAAATGATGTCTGATTTTCAATGGTTTTTCAGTCAAAGGATTTTTCGGACTTTAAGATCCTTCTAGTATTTTCAAAATTTCTCCATCAAAACCCATGTTTGAAAAGCTAAAATCTAGTTATTCTAACCAACTCAACGAGCTCTATCGAATGACGTATAAATAAGAGGAAAAAGAAAATAGTGCTTGAAATTCGAACTACGCGCGCCTTATATAGTATCAAAGACATATAGAGGCAAATAATTAACAAAACCAGAAAGAAAGAGAGAGAGCGAGAAGTATTTCCGAATTTACAATAAATTTCACGAAATGTACAAAATATATAACGTGTGGGGCAGAAGAGCCCAACTTCTCAGTACTTTATGTTTTTCTTCTGTTTTCCTAAGTCCCAAGCGTTGATCTTCTTTTCATTAGATTTCCTGTTCAATTCTCTACAAAAAATATATTGAGTATCTTATTGCACAACATGAAGGTGACAAATGGCAAAAGAAATTGCACAAAGTACCAGAATGGAAAAAAAATTAACGTCTGTTCTCATACAGAGTTAATTTTTTTCGAATGGTTTCACAAGCATTAGAACGTGATCGGAATGTTTTTTTGTATAATTTCAAGTGCGCTCATTGTCATTGCATACAGCAAAATTTGTGTGAATAAAAATGTTTGATCAAAGGTTGACTTATTGGGAACTGAGCGAAAACACCGAAAGTTTGAACGTTCTCTACATGCTATTAGAAGGAAACTTTATGTCAACTCTTAGTAATCTGACAATATAGACTTTTCAAAATAAAACTGAATTTAATCCGAAAATAAGAAGTTTTGACTAAACTGTACTTCTTTCATTGAAAGTGATATATTCACCAGTAAAATATCCTCATTTTTAGAAAATTAACAAAAAAGAATAAAATTCTTACGCCCTCAATTCTAATTATTGGTGAAAGATAGAGCGTTTCAAGGCCTACACGATGGCTACTTTAGCTGTTTTTCTCCTACAAGCGTTTATTGAGTAACATCAGAAAAACTGTTTTTAACTCATTTTTTGTCCATTTTGGTATGTCGCACAGTTTCTCTTGTCATTTGTCACCTTCATGTTTTGCAATAAGACATTCAGTACATGTATTGTAGAGAATTGAACGGGAAATCTAATGAAAAGAAGACCAACACAACCGGGCTTAAAAAACACAAAATACTGAGATTTCTCTTCTGCCCTACTGGTCATAGAACTTAGATAGGGGAACGGATGAAGATCAAGAAGAATAGTGAATATTTTTACTTTTTCTTTAGCATCTTCGTCTTCCATGCCACTATCCAAGTTGTATATATATCAACGCCAAAACTGAGACACCGTCCAGGGTAAGAATGGATTAGTGCGTTCCGTCATCTAAATTTGAACGTTCAAACTAAAATGCCAAGAAAAGCTCGACATTTTAATTTAAGACAGACCTAGAAAGTTAGGCAAAACTGAGATTACCAGTTTATTAAAACCACTAGGTCGCAATAGAGAGGCAGATGTATTAGATTTGGGTTTAACATCATTTTACACCACGAAGGTAAAAACAAAATAGAAGCAGCGAAAAGAAAAAGATGGACGTAAAATTATTATGAGCCATTAAAGATAAGCAATTACCTAGTACCGTATAATTCCGGCATGTAAGGAAACTGTCAATTTAACCTATGTATAACTCCGTAACGACCCATTACTTAGACTTAAGAATTATATCATAACTGCTAGATAGTGTCTACTACAAATTCACACAACCATGCTTCACACAGCACAGCTCTATGCTAGCTAAGATATTCAAATTTTAAAATGAAGCAGATTTCGAAAAAATCTAATTTTTTTAATTTACTTTTTTCAGGTACTTTAGAAAAGGCTTGATAATCGATAAAGATAACAAATAATTCAAACTCACAATAAGCTGCCGGTGTAGAGTTCTTCGACTTTTGCTAAGAATTTGACTCATTTCGTATGAAAAGGCACCTTTAATCGCATCTTTAACAAGGAATCTAAGGTTTTTTAAAATTATGTTGAGAAATTATAGTTTCCATTGATTTGGAGCTGCTTAGTTCGAAGCCATCCCAGCGAGGCTCACCAAAACTTATTTATTTTCTGTTTGCGCGAGACATTCTGTCATCTTTTTCCCCTTCTTTTTCACTATTTGAACAATAATTTTGCCATTCGTTCTTAACCCTAGAGCAAAAATAAAACATGGAACGTGCGTCGGAACCCCGTTCAAAACTGATAAAATTTTTCAACTTTGTCCGTTCCACACCCGTTCACAAATTTGCATATAACGGATTTCAAAAACCCGTTTCGCAGAGTCCATAAAACGGGCGTTCAAGGACTAGTCCACAACTGTCATTTTTTGTTCAAGTTAAGGGGAGTTCAACAACCCATTCCACATCATCTATTAACGCCCGTTCAAACTGCCCGTTGGAACGGGTGGTTGAACTCCATCTGACCTCAACGGAAAAATGTAATAGTGAACTAGTAGGTGAACGGGCGTTAATAGACCATGCATAACGGGTTGCTGAACTCCCTACAGTTCTTTAAACGGGTCCAGTTCTTGAACCCCGTTCGAACGCCTTAACCCGTTTCAGATGGCCACGGAACTTGTTCGAAATCGATTTGAACGCCCGTTCAGTAGATTTTTGGAACGCCGTTCTATCACCCGTTCGTTCGCTGTTGGGAATTATAATAGATTGTAGAAATGCGCCATAAACGGGGAAAAATCTTCTAAGAACATGGACGACATATCTGAAGTTATTTTTCAGATATCTATTTTAGTTATCGGGCGATTAGCTTCAAAATATATTGATCTGATCGCTGGCACTTAGTCGTTTATCATCGAAGGACACAGCAAGTGATTTTGTCAGCATATAACTTATACTATAGATAATTAATATGCGTCAGCAAGCCATATATGACCATTGCTCTATATTAATTATCTCTTCACGTGCTCATTGAATGTATGTGGCTCTTAGGTAATACTAGGAAAGTTAAACCTGAAAGCAATGTTTTTTTATCTGAAACCATTCTATTTGTCTGTTTAAAAACTGGTCAGCGTCTTTACAGTAAGAAAAAACAAAGAATGTGTAGCTTAACGGTTCGTTGGCATGGGTTACTCTTAAATTGTTCATCACGTTGCTCTTCACGAATCTGCATTTATGAGATTATTCATCGTTGCCTATTTCAAAAGAATAAGAGCTTCAAATTATTATATATAATTTAAATTTATATTAATTAGAATCTACATGAACATAATTTTTGTACTATTCAATCGTCGGTTTTAAGTGTACTCTATGGAAAGTAATGATAACGTTTTGGTTTATCATCAGTTTGTGGCAGTATAACAGTATCTTGTGTTGCTAAACGAATATTCAAAGTAACGGATTGGTAGAAGAGCTTTTTTCGCATATGACACTAAAGAGCAGCTAATAAAACTTCACGGAAGATTTTCTGGGCATTAACAAGATTTGTTTTTTCAAATTTTTTTTTATACGAAGCACACCATTACATTGCATAATGATTATAAATTAGAAACGTATTGTGTAACTCATATCTTAATATTAAATCCAATTTACTTTTTCTTAGACGCTGAATTCAAGTTTATAGCAGAGACGTATCTTTTACGTACTTGAAGAAAGCGAAAATGAAAGCTGATCCATCTTTTCTGCTATTTTCACATGACTATTTCTGCTTTCATATCAAAACAAACGCTAGACTCTCCGATGAATACCAACCTGTTGCATTTTTTGTTGACGGCAGCTATCATGCGTGTTTAACTGGATGTACATCAGTTAGAAAAGGACGCAGAACATTAAGGAACAGAAAATAAATAAATATCCGAAGTTATTCGAGGAAACAATGATATGGCAATTTTGCTTTTTCTCTCTTACATTCTTTTTTATTCTCACATTATCAGTGAATATCAAGAAATAATGAAGAAACCATTAAAAGAATTATTAAAATCATATTGTCAACTGATGATCTGTGCTTTTCCTTATATTTGTTCAAACGAAGACATCCACCTCTAAAGCGGTACGTATGGTGGATAGTGTTCATCATGAGTGAAAGCAAACATCGTTGTACGACGTAGTGGTTTTGTGAAAATAAATAGAGAGCTGCGTAGCACCTCCATAGCGAACACTAACTGTAAACAACTTAAGTTTTGTTCACCAGTAGAACAGATACTTTAATAATATATTGATCAATTATCGCCCAATATATTGACTCATGTGTTGACAGCAGGAAGGATGCTGTCTACATCGCATCACGGGATCTTG